CCTCGGGCCTCTGGAAAAGTGTCGCGGGCCCGATAAGTGCGATGAGGAAGTCTCTTGAGCGTATTTCGTGGTCCATGCCTTCCTTCACGGTGCTCCGTGATGAGAAAGGAATCGATGTTCACTTGACCCAGGTCTCGCCCGCGATGGTCAGATCGCTGCTTGGGAGAGCGGTGCGTCGCACCCTCGAGTGGGATCTGGGAGCTCGGCACAATCTCGGTAGGGCTTGCACTGATGGGATCCTCAGCCTCCTCACCTCTCGAAAGTTCACGGCTTTCGAAAAAGGTTGTGTCCGTTTCTCTCTTCTGCAATGCCACCTACACCAGGGCCAAGGCCAGATCCCTGGGATATATTATTGATACCACCTGCCCTCTTTTGTGGAGACGGGGACGACACGATTCGTCACCGTCTTTGGCGTTGCTCTGCCTGTGAGGAACTCAGGACGGAGCTGATTCCAGCTAAGGTGCGGGATTGGGCAGGCCAAGCGGACGACGCCCTGGCTTGCTACGGCCTCTTCCCTCACCCAGCTGAGGCCCACCCCCAGCCGTCGTTCGAGGAGGGGGTCGTCACGGCGCTTTGTGAGGGGTACGAGCATTTGGTTTTCGATCAGGACTTCGCTGGTCAGATTGTTGTTGATGGTTCCTGCCTACGACACCCAGTGGGCGAGCTTTCACGTGCTGGATGGGCCGTCTCATTGCTCGACCCCTCCAACATGCAGGAGATGATCAGGATTCGGGGCCCTGTGTGGCCTCCCTACCCCCAGACCCCCCAGAGTGCCGAATACCACGCTTTTTGTGCTGCTGCTAGGTTTGTTGCCAACCCATCTACCATGCGCTCTGACTGCCAGAATGTTGTAGATTATGCCAGTTTAGATTGGACCAAACAGACCAGCCACAAACGCTTGCACTCGGGGTGTGCCCAGTTCGTGCGTGAAAATTTACCAGTCATCACTACGAGCAAGGTGAAGGCTCATCAAAATTTTGATGAAGCGGCCGACGACCGAGACCGCTTCCTCCGCATTGGCAATAATTATGTGGATGCCGCAGCCAAGGTCGCTGCGACTTCCCACCCGCAGCCCAGCAGTGAGCAGGTGGAGCAGCTTGATCGGCAATATGCAGTCGCGCGTGCTGTGGGAATGCTGGCTGCAAAGCTCCTCCCGCTATGGCCGCCTCACGAGATGGGTCCTGATGTCGTTCGTGAGGTCGTGTGTCGTGAGAGCGGTGCTGGCCTAGGGGCAGCTGCAGCCACCCCACACGCCTGGCAGCAGATAGGAGCCTTCTGGAGGTGCACTGTATGTCTGGCTGCCCCCCCCGCGGGGTTCGGGCCCCGCCGCAGGAACATGGAATTGGAGGATGGTTCTGGCCTCCTCCGCCTGGCGTTTGCCCTCAGCGCAGTAGACTTGATCCTGCGCTGCTTGCAGCGAAAGGGCATCGCTGCATTTCTCTCGAGTGCTCCGACTCGACTCGCCTCATCGTATGCCTGCGGTGCAAGGCCATCAGCGGGCAGCGTGCCATGAATTTGTCTCGTCAGTGTGCCGATCACCCCAGCAGTGCGGGTGCACGGCATTGTTGGCAGAGAATATGCCGTGGCCTTCATCCGAAGAATGACAGAGTCACGGTAGAGCGAGGACCCTGGTCGGAACTTTAAGCGACCAGGGGCTGGCGGCCTGCCCCTCCATGCCGCCAGAGCTTCACTGCTGAGGTGGAAGGGCCTGTAGCGGGGAAACAAAAATCCTCCTCCTCCTCCTCCTCCTCCTCTTTCCGTCCACTCTACTGCTTGAGTGCAGCACCCCCAGATCCTTCAGGGGCAGATGCAAACCTGGAGCGCTTGGCGTCGACGTGAGCTTGACTGCCGCAGCAGGTGACTCCCACCATGGTGGTCAAGCTCCGCCGAAGAGGTGTCAGGCCCCCCCCCCCAGGCAGACCCCAAGAGACCAGCCCCCCCCGGAGCACAGGATATTGGCGAGTGCCTTGCCGCACCGGGGGCATGACCGCCGCGTGTCTTGCCGCTCCCAGGGTCTGCATGGCGAAGTTCGGTCGTGGCAGGGCGCCTCGCCACTGCCAGCCAGCCTCAGTCCGGAGGCGGGAAGACGTTTGACGGCCACTATGGCCAGGCGGTGTTGCGGCTCCCGACGGCGCCGCCTACGATCCGATTCGACGCGATTCGGTCCGCCGGCTGGGGCGATCCGATTCCGCCTCGATTCGATTCGGCTGGAATCACCGGCATCCTCTGGGGCCAGCCAGAGACAGGCGTGGCGATTCGATTCCGCTTCGATTCGATTCGGCTCGATTCACTGGCATCGGGGCATCAGCCGGGGCCAGCCAGCCACAGACAGACGTGGCGATTCGATTTCGAGTCTATTCGGGACGATTCGCTGGCCATCCGATCCGATCCGATCCGACTTCGCAGTTCGATCCAGCTTAGGCCTGCTGCCCGCCGCGCCGTCCGGGAACTAGCTACCCATAGCATTAAGTCGGGCATTTTGCTCTACAGGAGGATTACTCAAAAACAAGTGGCACGTGTGCCATGGATCTTGCACAACAAGCAAGGGGGAGGAGGAGGAGGTGGAGGAGGAGGGGGGAAGAGGGGGCAAGACATCGCCCCTCGGGACCCAGCAACGGGGCCCAAATCCCAGGTGACGAGGGGGTGGGGGGGAGGTGGTGCGCGTCGCGACGCGGAATAGAGTGCTCGGTGCGGAGGGGGCACTGGGCGGAGGGGGGGCGCTGGGGGCGCGGAGAGGAGGGGGGGGAGGTGGTGTGCGTCGCGACGCGGGATATAATTGTCGGGGCGGAGGGGGCACTGGGCGGGGCTTGGGGCAGAGGGCCACGGGGCGGGGGTCCAATTGGGGCGCTGGGGACGGGGGGGGGGGGAGGTGGTGTGCGTCGCGACGCGGAATAAAATTGTCAGGGCGGAGGGGGCACGGGGCGGAGCCCCCATTGGGGCGCTGGGGACGCGGGGAGGGAGGTGGGAGAGGTGGTGTGCGTCGCGACGCGGAATAAAGCGTTTGTGGCGGAGGGGGCAGTGGGCGGGGCTCTCGCTGGGGCGCTGGGGACGCGGGGAGGCTCGGGGCAGAGAGCCACGGCGCGGGGGTCCTACTCTGGCGCTGGGGACGCGGGGGGTGGGGGGTGGGGGTGCGACGCGGAATGAAGCGTTCGTGGCGGAGGGGGCAGTGGGCGGGGCCCCCGCTAGGGCGCTGGGGACGCGGGGGGGCTCGGGGCAGAGAGCCACGGCGCGGGGGTCCCACTCTGGCGCTGGGGACGCGGGGGGGGGTGCGACGCGGAATAAAGTGGTCGGAGCTCTAGACACCCTGTGCAAGAGAATAATATTTCAAAATAGTCTGGGGACGATTTCTGCTTATTTTGACTATTTTGAAGAATTTTGACTATGTTTCATTTTTCTTCCAACGTCGTCTGTAGGAGGACATGCCCGACCTGATCCCAGCAATTCCCAGACGGCGCCAGCGCGAAGCGTGACGTGATCATCATTCGGGGACCCCCAAACGGTATGGGTGACCGCACCGTGTGGTGAGTCAGCAGTGATTCGGGGTCACCGCACGGAATGGGACTGGGGCCTCCAGGGCCCCAAAACGGTGCCGTCACGGGATTTCTTGGTCACCTCACGGTCTGTCACCAGACGGTTTTGGGGACGCCAAGTCATTGGGGGGGATGAGGTGGGGGATTGGTGATTGGCGTTGTCGCGACAATTCGCAAGGAGCGAGCCTCCTCCTCCTCCGTTTTCGCCCCCATCTCAGCTTCCTGCTGCGCACCCTCGGCCTCTCATGCGCCTGCGGGGGGTCCCCTCGCAGCCACGGCCAGAGCCGCCTCACAATCTTGGCAAGAGCCCGGTCTGGGAGGGGTCCCGGGGCCGCTTCTGCAATGGCTCGGAGGGAGCGCTGCGCCAATCGAGACGTAAAACCCTAAAGCACTAACACCCTAAAGCCCTAAAACCCTAAAGCCCTAAAGCCCTGAAGCCCTACAACCCTGAAACCCTAAAGCTAGACCCATCCTTACAGAACGCACTGAATTCCAACACTCTGCATCTTAGTCATGCTCTGACTCTTATACACAGACCGCTCGCACCCTGTTCAGTCATATTCAAATTGATTCATAATCAGACTCACGGTCAGACTTAGCCAAACACTGCCACTCACACTCCGACCCGCTGTCACTCACTCACTCACTCACTCTCAACTTACCCAGGGTCTGTCACGACTGTCTGTTGTCTTTGGCCCAGCCAGGACCTGCCTAGTTGTCTTGTGAGGCGTGCCTGCCCCCCCTGACAGGGCGGGGACAGCGCGGGGGCTCGAGTCAGGGGGGCAATGTCAGGGGGGATAGGCTCAGGGGGGGATGCATGAACCCCCAATCGCCCACTGATCGCTGATAGGATCCCGATATCCCACCCCGCCCAGGCCCGTGCGGATGTGCTGACGATCGCTGATCTATCGGGGATGTATCGCCGATTCCAGGTCGTTGCATTCGATGGCCGCCCCGTCGAGCCACCTCTTCTGTGCGCCGCCCGTCGTCGTCGTCGTCGTCGTCGTCGTCGTCGTCGTCGTCGTCGTCGGACGTCGGGCGTCGGACGTCGGACGTCAGGCGCCGGGCGTCGTTGTCTGAAGTCGTCCTCGGGCGCCGCCCTCCGCCGTCGTGCGTCGTCTTCGTCCTCCAAGCTCGGCGGCGAGCCCGGGTGGAAGGCGGAGGGGGCGCGCCTTCTCAGACTGAGAGGCTTCCTCAGCTTCCTCCGAAGACAACCGCCTTCTCAGACGGCTGGAGTGCTTCAGAGAAGCCCCGCCGCCTCCTGAGAAGGCCCGCCCCCTTCAATGGTCATCGTCCTCTGGCTTTCGGGTCACGGGTCTCGGGAAGCCGCTCGGGACGATCTGGGCCCCCCCTAGAAAGCTCTCGGCGAGGCGCAGCCGCTGGAACGCATCCCGAGGCAGGAACACCTTTTTGGGAACCGACGAAGACGCCCGAAAACCTCGAACCTCGGACCCGAAACCCCCTCGAACCCGAGCCCTTTCTCCCCGGGCGCGCCGCCGACAATCGTCGTGCGTCGTCTTCGTCGTCCTCCGTCGTCGACCCGGGGCAGGGGAGGCGGGAAAGAGGCGGCTCCCAGCTGTCCGGCAGCGGCTCGCCGCCGTCTCGAGCCTGGGCCCAGGAGGTCCGCCCGCGGAGGCGGCCCAGGGGAATCGCGAAGGCGAGGTCGGGGGCGGCCAAGAGGTGGGTGACGACTAGGGGGCGGGTGGAGATCGTGGTGGGAGCCATGATTTCTCCCAAGATTTCGTGGCGGCTCTTCTTATTCCAGTGCGTCCCTGGCCCCCCCCCCCCGCTCCCCGGGCCGCCCACATGCCGCCGGCCATGACTTGCGCCCCCCTCCCCCCCCCCTCTGGGACGTCCCCACATTGGACGCCCCCGATGAGGAGGACGCGTCAGGGCTAATTTCGACTCCTCGGGCTCGATTCGATTCGATTCGATTCGACTTCGATCGACTTCGATTCCGATCAAATTCGACCTCGGAATCCAATTTTTGGATTTCGGCCTCTCCACCGGGGGCCTTACTGGCCTGCCGATTTCCGCCGATTCGACTTCTCCCGACTTGGCTCCCGATTTCCGCCAGTCCGATTCATTTCGATCGCCGATCCGTCTCATCGAGTCGGGCTCTTTTGCAGGTCGGTCAGGGCGTGCGATGACTCGTCTCGAGGGGGTATGGTTCTGGTGGCTGGCCTGGAAGGCGGGTACCGCATCAGGAGAGTTCGTCATCCGAGGCTTCGGTTCCCTCGTCAAAGCCGTCGGGGGCGCGACGCTCCCCCAGCGTCTTCACCCTGGTGAGCTTACGCTTAGACTCCAGTGAGTCGAAGGATGCCAGCACTGAGGCCCGACCGGGCAGTCCAGGGGTAGGGGGAGGCGTCTCGAGGGGGAAGATGGCGGGAGCAGAAGATGGAGTTGGCCATGGCGATGACGGGCGCGACTGTGGGGGGAGGGGGGCCCGCACTGAGGCCCGACTGGGCAGTCTGGGGGGAGGGGGAGGCGTCCTGAGGGGGGGAGAGGGAGGGACCAGAAGACGGGAGCGGACGAGGATGAGGACAGGATTGGCCCGCTGACAGAGGCGGCCGAGGGGAAGAGCAGATGTGAGGCGGACAGGAGCCTTCTTTTGTTCCTTGGCGATGACGGGCGTGAACGGGGGGGGGCAGCGGGGAGGGAGCCGGTCACGTCACGATTCGCGCCAGCGCCGTCTAGGAACGCTCAGGGATGGCTACAGTCAAGGCGGTGAAACAAAAGACCACGTCGAGCTCAGGAGGGGCTCGGGTTTTCGTGCAGTTCCTTGGGTCCAGGTCGGGGAACGTTTTTGTCCTAGGCCCGCCGTGGCCAGGAAAGCCTCCCCGTTCCTTCTTTGGCGTTCCTTCAGGTAGCGTGTCGACTGTAATTCCCAGACGGCGCCGGCGCGAGTCGTGACGTGACTAGTGGGGGCGGGGGAAGGGGGCCGGTCGCGGGGCGTTATCGCGAGTAGTGCAACATGGGCGCCAAGTCCCGGATGAGTCGTGCCGAGGGCGGAGAGGCCCGAGCAGAAGAGCGAGGCGGGGGAGGAGAAAGAGGAGGATGGGTCAGCTGAGAGACGGAACAAGTGGGTTCGATTGCGTTGGCAATCGCGCGTAAACTCCCCGCGTAAGGTCGCGCGTAAGTGCCCTCGTTTCCAATACAGCGAGCGGGCGTAAGCCACCGCGTAAGCTCGCAGCGTCATCTCGCGTAAGACCCCTTTTGCTTCTTCGCTCAGCTGTCAGAGGTGGCCGAGGGGAAGAGCGAATTTGAGGAGGAACGGTCAGTCAGGAGGTGCAGATGAATCTTGATGGTGCGCCGAGGGGGGGGACGTGAGAGGGGACAGGCCTTCTCAGATGACGGCGGGGCTTTTCAGAAGTCCTCCGACCTGAGAGGCCCCCTGTGGCTTCGAAAGCTTCTCAGGAGGCCGCAGGCCTTCTGAACCTTCCGAGAAGGCCTACGCGCTCTGTCTTCCCCGCTGGGCCCGCCGATGAAGCGAGCCGAGGGAGGGTGCGTAACACGGCGGCGGGAGATGAGGAGGAGGAGGAGGAGGAGGAGGAGGATGAGG